ACAATAGATAATTTATTTACTGTGTATCAAACTCTCACATATGATACTGAAAATATAATTAAGCCCAATAGTGAAATATTTTGTAATTTATTAAATAATATTATCTACTTGTAATTAAAACAGTGTTATATATGTTCTATTAATATAATTACCAATACCTTCTAATTTTAATATATTATAAACTGTTGATACAATTTCGGTGGAATTATGCAATTTCCATGGACACCCAAAAGCCACAGAAACCACCAAAATTGGTCCATGGAAATTGGAAACATGACAGTTTTTGTTTAAATAATAAAAAATATAATGGCAATGACATTTTTTTTAGTTTTATCTTAAAACTATACCATAAACTCATTACATACACAAAAGTCATATTTTTAGTTCATGAATAAAATATTTAAAATTTGATCACAGAGATTGCGAAATTTCGTTCAGACTAAACTGAAGTCACGTACTTACATTTTTGGCGGGAAGACGTAGCGAACTAACGCACAACTGTTTTCATTGTGCGCAAGCGCACGACTGATTGTTGCCGTAGTGTGATCATCGCAGGTATAATTTCAATAATGAACGATAGAGACGGCGTAACAAAATGACCTCTGAAATTGGCACTTTTGCTTGGACAAAACTGCTTGAACAGATATTCATAAACTAGGATTTTAAAAATTCAAATTTAATCGTCTTCTTGTAAGTCAACTAATATTTAATGTATTTAAAATACTTTTTCTTGTATTTGTTGGAGATTATTTTCCTGACAGGTGAATATCGTGTATGAAAGTAATCGTGGACAATACATGGAAATTTAAAAAACACCATTAAGCTTTTTTTTTTTTTTTAAATAATTGTTTTACAAATTCAATTTAAGTGGCTTCATTTAGATACACGACTCTTATATGTTGAGAAAAAAAAATCGTGGTGTTATCTTTAACCCAACACATCGTTTTCACCTTGGATGCATTAAATTTTCGTCCGAGAAATTCACTCATTTGGACTTTATATTAATAGTAACCTCTTTAGCTGCTTTTTCAGCTTTTCCGCAACTTTACCCGCGTAAATGTCATCCGCGTATGATGTAGCTTCGTGTAGGTGAATTTTAAATCGATCAGAGATCAAATTGGAAAATTACATTATATTTTTGCGCCATTATTCAACAGTAAAATATAATACCGGATATTAAAATTAATTAAATTATGAAATATTATACTTATAACTATATTTAAATCGTTAAATATTTAATAAGAAGTAATTACAGCATAACAATTCGATTAATAGTTGTACACTCAACAGCAGATCATGTTATAGAGATCTGTCAAACTTCAATTGATTTAAAACCTTATGGTCTTTAGTCATGGCTCGATGCGAAGCAATTCTGCACACCCTTATCAAATGTATGGAGAATCGCAAGTGTTTACTCATGAGATTGCACAATCTGTCGATATCGGTTGCAAATCTACATGTTCATACGTACTCATGGTCTGCGATATCGCTTCAAATATAAATGTCGAATTGTTTTCGATTTTCTGTTCATTAAAATCGAGAAGAGATTCAGTCGCGCAATCTTACTACACCATCGGTCTACTATTACTCAATTTGAAAAAATATATGGCAATAACCCTCCTATATAAACAATTGGAAAGCTCTATGATGTAATGTTTAGCGCCTTTGATTTGCGATTGCGGAGCTTGAACGATAATCGCTAAGGCTGGTAATCGGATGGGTGGTAAAATTTTTTTGGCAGAACGATTTAGCACGACTACACGCTCCCAAAACACAGGATTACTGGGTAGTATAAATGTGCTTTAGCACCGCCGATCCTCATTGAGACCTACACGCGTTCTCAATTGGGAATGTTGGGTGGCAGTTTCATCCATTATGAATATATGTGCTTTAGCACCACCAATCCGCATTGGGACATTCACACAGGCCCAATTAGGAATTCTGGGTGTTTTTTTTTTTTTTACACATACGGTTACGGTTTACGAATCTCCAATAAATCGGCCGACTTGCATCGAGTGATGAATAAATAGCCTAATACGTTAAGGGTGGAATTGCCCCGATATAACTAGGTATTACTGTGTGTACAAATTGCTATGACGTACTGGTTTTATCCGTTTGTGGATCAATTAGATGATGGATTACTTATCTTTGCGCGATTTCTTTTTAACAATGATAATAATATTTAATTCAACTGTAAAAGTAGGTAGGTAATGTATGACATTGAAAATTATCCACAAATTGTGGACTTTGATAAAATGCAAGATCAATTTTATTGTTTTTTAATCATCCTATTAATGTTATAAAGGCGAAAGTTTGTAGGTTTAGGTGTTTGTTACTTCTTCACGCAGAAACTACTGAACGGATACTGATGAAATTTGATATACTGGCAATTCTTAGTCTGGATTAACATATAGGCTTTTTATTCCATTAAAAGATTCCCTAGGGATAGAAGCCTCCGTCTATTTTTGTGAACGATGCTTAAACGGAAAGAGATATACGAATAGAAATACGAAAAGAAAAGTTAGAGACCTTTAAATTATCTATAAAAAAGTTTGCGATGGCATATATTTATGAGCTTAGGTTTTGAAACAAAAGTAAAAAAAAAATCGTTTAAGTGTATTTAATTTTTTTCGGTAAGTGATATTCAAGCCTTATCAAAATAAATATGCTTATTTTCAAAGAAATTTAATGTGCATAAAAATTGTCTTTTGCACCAAACAAACAGTTTAGATTTTACTACGATGTTTTTGAGAAAATTGCTGATTTTCTAAATACTATTTTGTGCATATGTATCTTTTGTTATTTACCAGCATTTTTTATGTAAAATAAAGACTGTAGCAATAATATTATTGTTTTACTAATTAAAATAATGATTGAATGAATTTACTAATAAAAATTGAAAACCTATTCGTATTTTTTGAAGTTGGTTAAATATAAAAACTGTAAATACAAATACCACGCAAATGAAGTTGCGGGCAAAAGCTAGTGTTATTATAACGTTAAGATTACAGACTGTTTCTTGCAATTATAGGTAATGCCTAAGCTAATGTTTAATTCATTGCAGACGTCGAACAAAACCGTCTTTAATGGTGAAAATTCAGGAAATGTAGAATACCTACTCCAACCCTACTTATCTTGAATTTATTGAATTGATATTGTCAAAAAAAAATTATTGAATATTGTCAAAAACTTCAATTTGTTATTCATACACTTGATTAGGATATTTTCGCTGTTGACAGTTTCTGAAGGTTTTCTAATTCTAACTTTAGTAACTCAACTTAAAGATAATATTAATAACACATTTCATAGGCATCAAATTAAATGTAAATAAAATCATCATATGGAAATGTAAAATCAGGCAGGCAGGCAATTTTTTTAGCAGATATACACACACAGCACACTCAACCAATAAACTAACATGTTCTTAATTGATTGGATAGTTAAACTTATTTTAATTTTTATCTATTAATTAATACAAAGGGCCATATAAAAATCAATAAGAGTTTATATATGTCTGATCAAATATTAGGAAAAAATAAATACTATCTCGATTTATGAACGCGTTAAGCTCAAGATAATACATAATTTTCAATAATCCGACATTTTATATCCGAAAAGATATAAAATATTTATGGCCCCGGCTGTACTTGAAAAATTGTAAGTAGTTTTAAAACGTAATTTTCTTATCTAAATAACAGTAGTTACTTTAGTAGAGATATTTCACAAATTCTTGGCAAAAAAATCTTATTAAAGCATCTGAAGTAAATTTCGACAATCACACCATTGAAATAATTCTAAATAAATATATAGCAGCAGTCAAAATACAGACACACAGTTGATAGATCTATATTTAAGATATAATTTAAAATGAAATTATTATTTATTTGTTTAATTCTTGATGCAGAATCGTACAAAGGCGGACTTAATGCCTTAGGCATTCTCTGCCAGTCAACCATTAGGTGATGTGGAGATTAAAATAAATGATAAAAGCAGGTGCATATGTAATCATTGAGAGAAAAAAAATATATTTATATAAAAAATAAGCATAATACAAACATACATATATATAATATAATACATATATAATATTATAAATATAAATACAAATACATACATACTTATAAATACTATGCCTAGAAGAAATGAAATACCAATTTTTATGATTCTGCCTGATCAAATCTTAAATTACTTAAACTTGGTTTTAAAGCAAACCAATTGGCGAACATTCTGATGTCTGTGGGTAGTGCATTCCATAGGATAATAGCTTTAACGAAAAAGGAAGAGTGGATGATGTCAGAGTGATGAGCAGGACACATGAGTAGTCTATTAGAAGAAGATCGAAGGTCTTTTGTATTTAAACTCAAAAATTAAATATGTTAATTTGATCTGTTAACTCAAATAATTATTACAAATGATAAAAATATAGTAGAATAAGGAATATAATATATTATTTTTTACTACCTGGAGGTGGTCGCTTATAGTTGCAACTTCAGTTATTTTTATTAAACTACCGCGACTATTATATTACACTATACTTTCGTTAAACTATTTGTTCCAATAAATATATTTTTATTTTCTTTTATTTTAAATGCGCCTCAACCTTTAGTTAGTAAAAAGGAATCATTGGCGTTTATATTACACGCATGAAAAATATCAAATTTCAATATCGAATGCACTAACCACTACGCCATTTAGCGTAAGAGTAGGGAGATTAGATTTTCAGAATTTTCTTGAAGTTACCTTTATCATTTTTTTTTCAATTACGACCTTTTCTATTCTCGACCTCTAGTATAAGTTGTTTTGTAATTTCAAATATCTATAACACAAAAGTTTTAAGCTATTTCTGAAATAAGAGAAACTATTTCTTGCTTTAGTGAATACTATTCAAAAACTTCCTCAATAGGTTTCAGTACCTATATCAGTGATATAAATTTCAGCATGACACATAGGATTAAGTCATATTAGGAGAGAAATAATAAACTGATTAACAGAACGAGATATCTATTGGTAACATTGCAAATGAAGTTGATAAACAATTGTATAAAAACATCGAAGAATGCCGAAACATCTATAGTTTGTTACTACAACTTAACACCAACAGTTCGTATACGTTTATTTATATTCCGTTTTCTGTGAATTTGATTAAGTCTTTTACATACTGAGTTAATTTATTGCTCATTCCTTTCACAGCAAATATGAAGTTCCTGTTGGTAGCTGTCGCTTTAGTGTCCGTGGCTGTGGCCGGGCCCACTCGCTTCGTGAACCCCGGAGCCGCTGGCGCAGCCCCCATAATCCCAGGCCCTACACCCGTGCTCGTACCTGAAGTTGCCCCCGAGCCAATCCAAGTTGGACCCGCTGTCATCGACCAATTCCAGCCCATCCAAGTTGGACCCGCTCTCATCGACCAATTCCAGCCTATCCAGGTTGGACCCGCTGTCATCGACCAATTCCAGCCTATCCAAGTTGGACCCGCTGTCATCGACCAATTCCAGCCTATCCAAGTTGGACCCGCTGTCATCGACCAATTCCAGCCCATCCAAGTTGGACCAGCTGTAATCGACCAATTCCAGCCGATCCAGGTTGGACCCGCTCTCATCGACAATTTCGAACCCGCTCCCGCTCCCTCTCCAGTACTCTCACCAGCTGCAGTCCCCTCGGCCCAAACTCCACTCGTCCAAATCATCTTGAACATCAATCAGGCCCAGGCTGAAGTCCAAGCTCCAGAGGTCGCGCCTTCGCCTGTCGCTGTCGGCCCTATCGCTCCATCTCCCGTCATCGTCGTAGATCCGAGTGAGGTGCCCGTCGCTCCTTCTCCAGTCATCATTGGCACCCCTGAGTTGCCAGCCCCGATTCTGCCTTCTCCCGTAGTGATCGGCACACCTCAGTTGCCTACCCCCGTTGTGCCTTCTCCAGTCGCGATCGGCACCCCTCAATTACCCTCTCCCGTTGTGCCCTCGCCTGTCATCATTCCCAGCCCCGTCATGCCCTCCCCCGCCGTTGTTCTTCCCGAAATCCTCAATTAAAATTTGTGCAATCGTTAATTCACTCACCTATAGCCAATTGTAGCATATAAGTTTTTCAAATGGGTTAAAAGGTTTCTGCTAAGATCTTGAAACGCATGACCAGCCAATTGTGTTTCTTCTTATTTCAATTGCAATGTAAGTAATAAACAGATAACGTGATATAAAAATTGTTTTTTATTCTTTCCTCATTTGTAAATGGATATCCGTACTAAAACATTTTCGGAGTTGAGACACCAAGCAAGACCATGTTTTTTTCTGAATAGCATAAAAAGTAATGTCAGAATATTTATTTTTTGCGAGCTCCAGCTTTACTGAAGCCCCGATATTGGATAACCGATTTTATTATTTTTATACAAGTAGTTTTGTTTTAATACAAAACTAGAATTCCGCCACAGCTTAATAAAACATATAATAAAATTACAATTTTTTACACTTCTGTACATCGATAAAAGCCGCATTAAAATCCAAAGATCTCAGCGTACAGACAGTGGGTAGCGTCAGCGCCGGCACAATGAAACTTACCTCCCTAGGCATAATATGGAAACAACGACGCCCATAAAAAAGTGGTTAAATTTAAAATACTTGCTTGAATAAGCTTGAATGTGTATTTTTATCGTAATAGAAAAAAAATATATAACACAAGTTTACAATTAATTTATTTTTAAGTGATAAATTATACTTATGTCAAAAGCTATTGAATGAAGTTGGGCATCTATAATTTAATTAATAACCAACAGAAAACCGCCGCACGACTTATTACGATATTTATAACTCTTTTTAAAGTTAGAAATTATTTTTATATAATATCCATCACCAGCCCTTTTACGTCCCCACTGCAGGGGCTCAGGCCTTCCTTATGGATGGTTAAGGAGGATGGGCCATGACCCTCCACCAATGCGGATTGGAGGGTAATATAATATGTAACACTAAAAATATTAAATATATACCTATATAAAAATATTCAATATATGCTGTGAAAGTCTTAGGTGAGAAGATTTTGTTTTTTACTCGGCACATTTTTTTCAATATAATCTATACTCATATTATAAAGAGATTGGACTGATTTGCTTGTTTGCTTGCATTGGATAGACTCCAAAACTATTGGATGGCTTATAAAAGTCTTTTATAGACGGTAATCTAAATAATACGCGGAAGGCTGTAATTTATTCAGACGAAGCAGCGAGGAAACAGTTAGTTTGATAAAATTTGGTTCATAATTCAAGAAGCAATCGACAAAAATACCTACTTTCCTGAAAATGTATGTAGCTTTCGTATACGACAATGTAGGTAGTCGGTAAAGACAACTTTACCGACTACCCACATTTAATTATAGAACTTCAAAAATTAATACAAAACCCGCAGAGTGCATTTACTTATAGATTAAAAGAAAGTACAAGTATATTCTATGTATGTACAAAAGTTATTCTCGTTTAACCCAAACAGCTGAAAGGAGTATTTTTACAAATATTTTAAACTTTCGATAAAGATGAAAATTTGTAATAATTATTACATTAGATCTATTTTGCATTCACAGTGCTATGCTGCAAAATATGGAATTCGACACTCCTGTTAGGTCCTGGGTAGCTCAGTGGTTAGATCGCCCGGATTGAGATAGGTACCTAGTCGGTTTGAATGCCAGTAGGGGCAAAGTGGGTTTTTAAGCATTTTTCATTAAGAATATTTTTCAGCGCAGCATTGTGAATGCTAAATGGATCAAATATAATACACAAAAAAAGTTTAAAAGTAAAGAACATAGGAAAAAGATGAACGGTTTTTAGTTTTTCCTCTTCTAAAATTTAAGTTCCTAGTTAATTTTATTATTCCATCCTGCTCTACCGACATCGTGGCCAAATATTTCATTGTCAGAGCTATTAAGTTATACTACTATTTACCTGTGGATATTAAACCTGCGCGCATGGAACTCTTTGATGAAATAAATAATGGACTTCCATCAAGCTTGGCCATTCGTCGTTCTAATGGTTTGTCTTTCGTTCTACGAGTATCTTATTTTTTGCTTTTTCTTTTATTTTATTTTTTTCTCTGGTTATCATTTATTAAGTCTTTTTATTAACTTATTCCAGCCACTCATTACGATTAATTAACCACCATTAATCCACTAGCCCGACAGTTCCTTTCCTTAGTAGGTATACATTAGTCAAAAGTTTTAAGAAATTGCTACGTTAGCAACTTTACATGCAAAAGTTGCCAACAATTCCTATTCGTTTTATGTGTTTGTTTTTAATGCAATAAAGTACACATTCAAACATTCCTATAAAATAACAAAATATGTATTGCTAGCTACTTTCCCGTGACTCCGCCCGCGTAATTATCGCTTAACTAACCCACATATGATGTAGCTTCCCGTAGGTGAAAGAATTTTTAAAATTGATCTAGTAATTTCGGATTCGATGCATATAAACAAACATTTCTATCTTTTTAATATTAGTACCTATAGATAATTTACTTAGTCAGATGTTATCGAGAAATTAAGTAGCCTCACTTACTAGTTATTGAATCGTAAATCAATTAGATAATCATAGCTGATAAAGCACTTAATAGCAATTTAAATGGCGTCAGATATTTATCAACAATTTAGAGATATGTATTTATTTTGTTTTATTGGTCATTGTCTATAAAATGTGTTGATCGCTTGTCTATCTACGTTAAATTATTTTATTACGATTATTTTCTTTATGAAAAAATACTGATAATCGTTGTCGCGAAATTTCAATTTATAGCAAGTAAATCATTATAGAGGGCGCAAAGTCCAAATACTGACCCTGTCAAGATTGCGTCCAGCAATGATAGGGAAATACTGACGAATTGTGCGGCAAAAACGGAACAATTTATGTAAAAGTGCTGCATAATTGCCCTTGGCTACGAAAGAAAATCAATAATAAAAATTTATTTATTTATTGGTTCACCAACAATTGTTACAATGACAATTCACAAAGAAAATTATTTCCATAAAAAAAGCTATTTGTACAATTGATTAAAGTTAAAAAGGAGTAATTACAACAAGAAAGGGTGAATTTGTTGGATACAATTGTTTTGTTGTTAAAAACAAATGATAAAATTCACGTTTTGTCTGTGACCAATAATGACCCTTACAAATAAGACGTAGTTTTTTCAGATCAGATTGACATTGATATTATTTTGTTAGTTAAGAAAATTAGTGATTTTTAGTAGCACGCATCGTTTTTAAAATGACATATTCGAGTAACACAAATTTGTCCATCTTTACAAAATTCGTTGTAACCAATATTCTCTAATCTATACATATATAAAAGGAGATGTCCTGACTTACTAACTGACTGTTTCGAACAAACTGTTTTCGTTTTGTGAATAATAGAATTGCTTCACTAACGGTCAGTTGCACAAATCTTAATTATGATTTAAAGACGCTTTTAGCTTTATTGAATGACAAATTTGTATGGGTAATGTCGCTTTAAACTAATGTCAATTTTAATGAACGTTTGTGAAACTGGCTGTAAATCACTTGTATTCGGACATATGAGTGAATTCGAATTCGGGCTCGGATTTTTACAGAATCGCCTGCTGATTCGATATTTTTGCATTTAACAAAGTTAAAATCCACATGGATTAGAACACTTGTAGTCATATATTTTTTTATATTGAAAATTATTATGTAACGTTATCAATTATTGAATATTATTGATGAAAATTGAATAAAGTTTAAAAGTAAATTAGTTTTCAAAACTCAATAAGCAACTCATTTTCTATTTGTAATTTTTCGTATTTGTATTGATATCTAAGTTTCAAACTTTTCAAATTTCAGTTTTTTAATATGTTAGTTAAATAGGACGGAAATGACTGTCTTTGGTCCATGCGTGACCTGCAAATATCAACTTTTGCTAGAGTCGCCATCTAGTGGAGGTGCTTTTTAGTGCTTTCTTTTTTTTTTAAATACTTCCCCATTGAATAAAACCAAGAACTAATTATAAAAAAATATTTTTATTCACGGAAGAAAATCTCATTCAAGCTCGGAGCAAGTTATTAACAAAATTCACAGTGGAAGGTGCAGCAATATCTTGTACGACGGGCGCAACATCAGAAGCCTGGTTGACGTCAGAAGCCTGGTTGACGTTCAGGATGATTTGAACAAGTGGGCTGCTGGCTGGGCTGGAGCTAGCGGGGACAGCACTTGGAGCTTCGGGAACAGGGAACGGAATGATGGCAGGCCCAATGGAAATAGGCTCGGGGTTAACGGGTCCAACGACAACAGGTGTAGGTGTGATTATCGGTAAAGGTCCAACTTGGACGGGCTCAGGTTTGGGGATTATCGGGAACGGTCCAGCTACAATGGGCTCGGGCTCAGGAATAATAGGGAATCGTCCAGCTTCGATGATCTCAGGCTCAGGAATAATAGGGAATGGTCCGGCTTCGATAGGCTGCGAATCAATTATGGCAGGTCCAACTTGAATGGGTTGAAAACCCATTAATTCCTCGAGCTGTTGTTGTAAGAGCGCTGCGGTGGCAGGGTCGGTGTTGGGGCTATGGATGGCCGCGACAATAGCCTCCAGCTGAGCCATCTCATGGCTCGTTGGCTTAGTAGGAGTAGCAATGGCAACTGCCACCAAGGCAGTGATAGCAACGAGGAACTTCATATTCTGAAATAAAAATAAAAAACAAAATTAATGTTGTGTTTAGTGTGTTTAAATATAAGAAAAATATAAAACGACAAAAGAAATTAAAAAAACTAACAGTCAAATTAGTTACACATTTAGAAAACTAACACCCGTTTTCACTAACCTATAACAAGACATAGCTTAACTAGGAAATGCCTAAACTTATGAATCACCCAAAAAGGTTAGTTTAATTCTAATAAACTTTTTTTTTCTTTTACATTTTTGACCTGTCTTATTACGCCAATGTCATAACTTTAGATATTGCTTAATATCCTAACGACATTTAGCTCCTAGTCATTGGTGAAACGCATTTTTACTTTAGGCGATTCCTAAATATTTACGATTATAGCCCCCTGATTTAGTTAGGCAACCCAGTTCTAAACTATTTATCTACACGCTACCTAAGCTATAAAGTTCGCAACAATCATACAGACAAATTTTCATAATACCATCCGTATCTCTCACGATTACTGCGCTATTAGATATTACTTAGAATAACGGTAGCTCTACTCACCACTTAAATTCGCAGATCAATTTGATAAACAATCTACTACACGGCCTTTTTATACTTCATCTGATGTTTATCAACAATGATATTTTTTTTATTGTTTATTACCCATAAAATTAATGATAAGGTCGTATCAATCCATGTCTACTTGTAAATTATTTTATTACCTACAAGCAACTAAATTCTTTGTCAAAAACCCTTGAATAACAAAGAAATTATTTAATTTTTTTAATGGCTAGAGTCTTGGAATATAATAAGAGGAAATATTTAAATAATCTACCTACGTGAAGAGTCAGAGATAAGGATAATTCTAATGTCATTTGCCAAGTTTGTATTTAGTCTACGAGATCATCAAACAGACGTTTAGCTTTTGTATTTTAGGAAATGGGACAGCCATGTTATGATATTGTCTAAAGTAATAGCTTCTCTTGACTCTATAAACAAGTTAATTGTTGTATCAAGCTTACGTTCTACCTCCGTACGCTGGTTTCAAAATGTCCAGTGATCTTGGATACGATTCCCGGTCGGATCAATGTAGTAAAACGAATTTTTATTGTTTGTATCTGGTCTGGTTGTTGCATTATCTTATTTATTATCATTTTTATTACATTGTTCATTATTATTGTAATTTTGGTGATATCGAGGCATCCTCATCATCACCAGCCCATTAATGTCCCCACTGCAGGGCTGAGGCCTTCCCTATAGATGGAATTGAATCAAATTGAATAGGTAGAATGCGAACCCAGTGCGGATCGGTAGTTGTTATCAATTGTAGATGCAGCCGAGAACAACGGCTTAACGTGCCTTCCGAAGTACGAAAGAGCTCGAGACAATAAATTTTTGGTCACCCATCCTATGACTACCCCTTGCAAATGTAACTTAACAACCGTATACCACGCAGTCGGTACGCACTTACCACTACACCGTCGAGCTCCTAATTTATATAATTATTTATATTTGCTAACAGCTGGCACGATACTTTATCATATGCACAAAGATACAGGGGTCAAGAGGGTCTCTTACAATTTATTTCTATTCCGTTAATTTATTGAAATAAGTTCATTAACTACCTATCTATTGTTGGTTTATGTCTTTTCTAATAAAATTATTTGTTTTAACAAATAAATATTATAAAATAGACAACATCACGTACTTAAGATAAATTATTTTTCTTGAAACGGATGCCAACACCATAAAGCTTTCTAAAATATATCTCTGGTCAGGGAGCTACATTGGAACCAATATGTCCATATGATTTTCAGTAAAATCATCTGCTCCTTCAACTTCGTTCTGATCTAGCCACTCTAAGCCGTCAGCGCTCGCGCACAGTAACTCATTAGCTCGTCTTGTGACAATCCGTGAAGGTCGCACTTTGCGAAACATACGCGCTTGCTTAGCTGGTGCAATGTGGGCTGCTCGCCTGTGCTCTGCACCTCATCTGATAGATGAAAAGTAAATACCGTATGTACTGCAGCATCTTTTCTCTAAATCATCACATACACTTGGGCAACAGAGATCATAAGGCGTGCTGATGAAGGCGTTCAACGGTTGAATCGGTAGGCAGTGACGAATTAGAAATGGAGCAAATGACTTTCCGTCATGCTCTTTAAAATCCGGAATTGTCAAATGACATACATTAAATGTATAATGTCGAAGTATGAATGAAATTATTTTTCGAACGAATTAGTGAAGGATCTTAATCGTATACGATTACGCTTAAGATTAAATCTTCAGCATGTACAATCTGAATTAAATAGTATATTTTTTTTTGTTTCAATCAGAAAAAAAATTGCCTGATATTTGCCGAGACCTCCCCTCTCTCCAACGTAAGATTAGATGAGATTTGACTCGACCCCCTCCCCCCCCCTTAAACATCTCACGTAATTTATGGACGCCCCCTTACGTGTAACAACAATTTGTGACACAAAGCTAATTAATAAGTAATATTAAACCATTATACGAGTATTTTACTCAACAACGTACAGACCTTATCCTCATTGGACCCGCGTGGTGCTTAAGAGCCCGTTGTCCAACTTTAAGCAACTTGCATAAGGACCGGTAATGGAATGGGTAAACAAAAATTTTTAAATTAGCTGTCGTTATAAGCACCGATCTGCTCTTGGCCCATGATGTGGTTCATCATGATCCATTCTCCTTATTCGATTAGATTCCATCTATAAGGAAGGCCTCATCCCAGTAGCGAGGATTTTAATAGGCTGGTGATAACAATACAATCTTCAAGAATTAATACTGTCATACAAGTTGGGTTTTTTATGTGCGCACATTTTTTTCCAACGTTTTATCAAAATTACTACTACTATATTAGTATATATAATTTGTATTAAATAAACTATTGCAGTGCTATTTCGCTAAAATTATAATTTTAGTATTAGCCGAAAATCATATTATATGTAGAGATAATAGGCAAACATACTACCTTTTAGGAATAAATATTACTCACGTAGGACCTCGTATTAGGTTAACCTTTGCTAAGTCTCTGTTTATTAATTTGAATTTTGACTAACACTAAGTGCAGTCTCAGCGTAAATTTACTCCAACGCTTAATCTTGTTTATTAATAAATCCATTGATATATAAACAAAAATCAGTTAATAACCACCAAGACAACTTCCATACCCAAGTAGCTCGCACGTCGTTTCAAGGTGTCGCTATCTCTGAGGTGAGGAGGGACTTCGATTCCTGGTTGGGGCAACGTGGAAAATGAAGTTTTCTATATTGTCTCAGATCTAGATGTTGTGGTACTATCGCTGTCTCAGATAATACGAGCGCTTTAGCTACTCATCTTGGAATTCAAGCATTGTATCTGTGACGAACTCGAAGTCGACTTCGAAATTTTATTACATAATAGGAAAATGGTATTGCTCATCTTGTGCTATGGATGGTAAGGCATTAAGTACATACATACAGCAAAGAAAGAATCGAACACGATACATCAAACAGCGATATTTACCCCGAAATCGCATTACAAGAAAATGATGAACAAAACACAACCGATAAGTAATTACGATAAACATTAACGAAGTATTACTATGATGCTTCTGCTACACTTTAAGTAGTTTGCTCAAATCCCCGGTCAATGACATTACTTGATAACAAGTAGGTACCTTTTTTAGATCTTTTTGGGCTTAGTCTATATTCCGAATCAAAATAATTGATTATTACTGTATATTCATTTATTTTACAAATTTTATTGATAATTGATTTGGCAAAAGAGCTTAATGCTAATAACATTCTATACCAGTCAACCTTTTGGAAGCAGAAAAACATGATGGCGGCATAAAGTCAACTATAAATATAAACATAAACGTAGACGTAGACTTAAACGAAGACGTAGATGTAGACGTAAACATAAATATAAATATATAAACAAATGTTACGCTCACAGATCTAAATCTCTCGTTGAGTGAAAAATAGTTCACAACGTAGTGTATTCACAGTGAAATATTTACATAGCGAGATTCGTGTTTATAGCTCTTACGGAAACGTTTAAAAGCGACTTATTAAAAAAAATGTTATTGAAGTCAAGCGCCTATCTTTTAATTAATAACTTACAGAAAACCTCCGCCCGCATTTAAACCTAGTTATATTATTTTCTTGTATATAATATAAAAATGGCATTTTCTTGAATATCTCGCCTTTGAGATAAGTATTTCTTTTCCCTTTTTAAGGTTCTATTTTATGTTCTATTTTATTCACTATTTTATTGACTTTTGAGAATTCTTACTTCATCCAAATTCTGGTTTATTTAAACTATGACATTTTCTTATGTTACTACTAATCTCGACTACAGATATGACTATAGAGTTCGTTAGAACACTTATGTGTAATTAAACTAATTATAATTTTAAATCAATAGAATCCAAAAAATACCCCAGAATTCTATATATAGAATCTACGTATCTAAGTATGAATGCAATGAAAGATAAAAATAATGAATAGTTCAAAATAAGCATTTAATATTTGTTATGTAAATGAAGTTATTTTTATTTAAATAATACGTTAGCAACTCATAGTCTTGCAAGAACCATATTCAGGGGTCTAATTGTATAATTTTAAAATCTGTCGCAATTCCTTTCAATTTTACATTTGAATGATATTCACAAACTTTATGCTACAACCGTTTGACATTGTGATATCAACTGCGATCGCTGCCCTTTTTGATAGATATTTCATAAACGATAACGTTATTTTAACGTTAATTGATATCGTCTAAGGTTCTCGAGTGGAGACCACGAACCGGAAGACTAGATGGACGGACGACCTCGTCCGAGTCGCGGGCGGCCGCTGGATGCAGTTGGCGCAATGTCGTCCGTCGTGGCGTTCAAAGGGGGAGGCCTATGTTCAGCAGTGGACGTCTTCCGGCTGATGATGATGATGGTATCGTCTAAGGCAAGCGTTAGACGCAAATTAAAAAGCGAATATCGATAAATGTCAAACGAAATGCTATCTGCAATCTTTCGACAGATTTATGTAAGTTTCTTTTTTTTATTTTTTTTTCTTGATTTATAAAATAGTATTTCACTAATCTCAATCACAATCGCTACCTTTGAAAGGGATAGTGATAGATTTTGAAATTAGGCGATTAACCCACTGACCT